AAGAAATATAATCATCAAGCAAACGTATATATATATATATATCTTTATTTACTGAAATAATATAAAATTAAAAAAAATAAAAAGTGACTTTAATATATGTATGTATTTTATTTATATGTAGTTTTCCGTGTAAAATTGATATAATACTGCAGCTTTAAATGTGCATATTCATGTTTGTACAGTATGTTATGTTTACAGAAAACTAATCACACATACATATATTGAAGTAATTTTTTACACACTTGAGTTTTTTTGCAGTACAAAAAGTTGTATAATTTAAGAATATTTTTAAAACAATATCAATAATTTTATTAGGGTTTTTTAGGCTTTAATTAGAAAAATTCGTGCGATTTTAGAGCGACACCATCAAAGTATTGTGGGCTCTGCATAAAGAAGATCCCATATTAAACACAGCAGTATGGCATGGACAGACAAGAGGCGGTAAGACTCTGAGGCTAAAGACAGCTGCGGCACATTCGCCACCGCAAGAAAATAGTGATATACGACACTGGGATGTGAAGTTAACTCGGGTAAAAAAAAAAAATAAGACACCCCTTCCTCTCGATATTTTTATTCTCATTTAACAAGTTGAGATAATTACTGCGGTTTAGATAATTATCTGTTCACTATTTAAAATGAAAAACAAAAATGGATGAATATTGTGGATAAATAGTTTTATTTTAAAATCTTTACGATCAAATTTAGTTTAAATCCGAATTATCCCTTGTTTTTTGCACACATTTTAATAAATTGAGGCTTAATGATGTTTCTGTCTAACAGTTTGAAGTAACCAATACCACGAATACTGTCTATTGGTGCAAGATCTTCAAACCCTCCCTGAACAAGAAACATCACATGATAGGGGTAAGTACACAACAAATTATATCTCGAGTAAATGCAAACTTGAGGATAAGTCTCGATGCTGTGATGGAATGCAAAGGTTGGGCTTTATTCGTATGTGCTTCACGAATCACGGTCATTCATGCCGGACGTCGCACGGGATAGACGCGCGTCGTTAGAATAAAAAAAAAGACTCAGAATGATGTCACTGCGCATGAAACGTTTACCGACTATCAATATGATCGCGGGAAAAATGATCACAATTGTTCCCAGGGCCCTACCTAAGATGGTCCCAGATCTTTCATGTCAATAATCTTTCAAGTTTCTACGAACGTAATCTTCCCGAACTAAAGATCCGAGATATATATCCCGCGCAAAAGGTTTGCCTGATAATCTAAGGTACAGCGAGTTTAGGCTTGCGTTCATACATTATCTATGCGTTTCAGTATACACCACTCATAGAGAAGGGCAACGAGGATTTGGTTCATCATATAATTTTGTACGAGTGCACATCGCCAATGCTCGGCAAATATACCAGAATGGCCGGCAATCATTGCTATATTTCAGCAGTGCCAAAGGAATGGAACTCGTGTTTGCAACCCATCCTCGCTTGGGCTCGTGGCAGTAAAGGTATAAATTATCTACAAAGTGCAGACACAGATAATTGTTCAGTTACAATAATAATAGACTCTTTCATGAAGTCTCTTCGGCAAAGAAAAATTTGTACAAAATTTTACAGTCTCAAAAAGTTTAAAACTTAAATAAAACTTAAAATAAAACCGATAAATCAATTTAAATTCGTTTCATTTTTAATGAAAATCTCTGAATAATGTACACAAAGAGCGATATACTTATAGATTTTCTTTAATTTTACAATACAAACAGCATAATAGAATCGTCTTGTTGTGCAGGGGAATGGATGCCAGAACATGTTGGTATACCAATAGCGGAACAAAGCGAGAACTCGTATTATATGCTGGAAGTCCACTATAATAATCCGATGTTAAAAAACGTGAATGACAGCAGCGGCGTAAGACTTCATTTGACTGAGAAGCTTCGTCCTCAGGAAGCTGGTATTCTGGTGACCGGCGTGGCAGTGAGCCCTCTTCATCTAATACCTCCGCAGCGAAAGGAGTACGCAACTGTCGGATATTGTACTTCAGCGTGTACTCAGACAGTAATTGAAGAATTATACGATATTAAATTTCATACGATATAAATCATTCACATATAGCAATAAGTATAAAATAGAATTTGTAGAAGAAATAAAAATAATCTCAAACGTTGTTTCAGATGTTTCCTGAAGATGGTATCAACATCGTATCGGTTGTCTTGCATTCGCACTTGGCTGGTCGACGTCTCGGTCTGAAGCACATTCGAAAAGGTAAAGAGCTGCCGAGGATAGTCCAGGACAATCACTACGATTTCGACTACCAGCAGTCTTATACTCTGGAAAAAGAAGTGAAAGTATTGCCTGGAGATGAGTTAGCCGCGGAATGCATTTACGGTACTCTGGATAGGAAGAAACCAACTTTTGGGGGCTACGCAGTTACCCAGGAAATGTGTCTAGCATTCGCTGTTTATTATCCCAAAACACCTCTTGCCGCCTGTTACAGTATGACGCCCGTTAAGCATCTTTTCAAGATTCTGGCTGTAACAAACTTCCGGGGAATGACGATGGATTACTTGGAAACACTATTCCTAACGAATGGGTAAGTTTTTTCACGCAGAATAATTATAAAGTAGTTACCATCTTATATAAAACACATAAGTTTAAGTATTAATTATCACGAAAATCCTTAATTTAATTTGTGCCATTATCTGTGTCAATTCTTTCATGAAATATTAATTTTTATCTTCTTTAATTAAGAAAAAAGAAAAAAAAATAGGTGGATTTAGAAAATTTTAAATTAAATATATAGATTAATCTTGTCATCTGATTTAAATACTTCGTTCATAAAAAATTCTAGGTCTGAATTGATTTCGCCTTCAACCAAACAGCTTCCTAGTCATTCGAAATCAACTGATGAGATTGATGAGACTATCATTAAAGAAGCTAAGTCTGCATTAATAGCGATGAAAGATCACATAGAAGAGAGTGAGGACGATAACATCTTCACGCGACTCATCATTGAGGATCCCATAGAATTTCGAGGTATATATGATAAGAATAATAATGTCGTATAAAAATTAAATAACTAAAACGATAAATATAAAATCTTTTGTCTCAAAAAGAATATTTCCAACAATAAAAGAATATTTCCCCGTTAATATTTTCTTAAATTTTCAGGTCGTACTTTTGCCGAACATATGATGCTAATGCAGTGGAAAGATGATTTGTTAGCGAAACCTGTAGAATATAATTTGTATCATGGCGAACATATGACATTCTGCAGAAAGAGGGACGACCAATTAGTACTGGTAAAATCTCTCAAATATAATATTTTTAATTAAACTTTTCCAAGAAGAATATAAATATTGGAAAATGTTACCAGATAAATCAAATAATGAGCAAGAAATAAAATGCTTATATACGCCTTCGAGATTGTTAGTCCGTAAATACATTTATGAGGCAATAAGATATAATTCGCAAACAATTGGAATGAACTTATAAATATTATTTACGTACTAACAACTACAAAGATTCATGTAAGCAATTTTACTTATATTTGATTTATTCTTGAAGCTACAAAACTATTTTTGTAGTTACCTAATAATTTTGACATAGATTAAATTTATTAATTTTGTGTTGTTATTTATCATAAATTTATATTAATTTTTTTTATTAACTATTTAAGCGGCCAAATATTCTGAACTTCCCGAATTACACGGCATTACCGGAAATAAACACTTGCGAACTTAAGTCTGGCTCCTCCAAAGTTTTCTACATCCGTTGGATAAACCTGGTCATTATAGTCATCGCATCGATCGCTATATTATAAGAAGCCTCAAATGAACAATTAACGACAGTCAAAGGCGACGTGATAAACGCATTTCGCATTGTTAATTAACGCGAATATAAATACAGGGTTTCCGTGAATGTCTTCTGCATATTTTCAAATTTGCAAGATAAACCTGATTAATTTATTAATTTAAGTAATTTTATCTTATAAGGCGAGCGCCCGAACGAGCACCGACCGCTTGAAACAAGTCAAGATATTCCTAAAGTTTTTGTCGATCCGGCACACTAAGAACAATATATGTATAAATAGATATAAATATAGAATACATAATATAATATAATGTGTAAATACGTAATTACTAATTATGCATATTTATAAGGCGTTTTACTATTTTGTAATGCGTGTGTTGTGTAAAAATAAACGTTTGTAAATATTTTCTCCAAAGTATTTTTGTTGATATATTTTTATCTCATCTTCTTTCCATCTAATAAAGAACATAAATTATTATATATTGCCAGATAGCACAGAGAATTTAGAAAATAATTCTTTTAAATCCTCGAATAAATGAAAAAAAAACATTTTCTTCTTGTGTCCCATTTTTGAACCATAAATAATTTTAAAAGTTTCTCTCAAAATATTAGGTTTCCTAAATTAATTTTTATAGATAATTAATCGAAATTTTATTGTCAAAATAGATTTATCAACACAAATAATTAAATCTCTACTAATATTAGGTAATTAATTTAGAATTTGATTAAAAATCTGGTAAAAAATTTTTTATGCATGAATATTCATAAACATGTATGTAAATATGAATAAAAATACATAAATATTTATAAACATAGATATGCATAATCATATATGAAATATGTCTATATATGTTCATACATTCTTCTTTCTTTCGTAAAATTATTTTTTAGTTTTAATAGAATAATAATAGTAATGTGAAAACATAAAAAATAATTAAAAGACTAATTTTTATACTATTTGTTTTAGAAAAAATCAAGTTTGAAGAAAAAAAAATATCGTTAAATATCTTTTATATTATACTGGAAATAAATTTGTCATAATTGTAACACAAAAGACATCCAAAAATATTTGAATTTTTTGATGTTAGAGAAAGCAAAGGTCCTATCTCTCATAAGGTATTAAACATTCTATGTTGCAAAGTACGTTCATAATGATATTAGTTATTATAATAACAGGTATATATGTCTTATAAAAGGAAAAAATAGCGGCAATAAATATGAAGGGATCAAATAAAATGCTAATTAAAGATCCTTACTATTATTATGATTACGAGAGGATTTGGTATTAAATTACGCATGTAATAAATGAAAGAATTATTATTATAAGGCAAATACAATTCATTGTCAAGAGATGGTATTTCAATGCTGAAGAAAACGCGTAAATTTAGGCTGTTTTTAACAATTAGCATTTTATTTCCATTATATTATTATAGAAGTATTATTTATTTAATATTTTGAGAGAACCCTTCGTTCACTGGATAGGTGTAGAGTTATTTCTTGTAATCCTTTGCACTATTAATAACAATTAATTATTGAAATTTTAATTGTCTTAGCAATTTTAAGCATAATTCGAAAATAAAAAAATGAAGGCAAAAATAATGTCACAAAATCAGATAATAAATAAACATTTAAAATCCTATTAAAACATATGCATAAATGAATGTGTCCTTAATTATGATTCCGTCAGTAATTGAATGAAACTACGCGACGCCGATAGTAGAAAAATTTTTTAGCAGGGTAACAAAAATTTGTGAGTAAGGCTGATTTTCCAGATACATCATTAAAGGATGACAGATTGAATTCCTAGTCGTAGGTCTATACAATATGACGTAAAACATAGCGCGTGTATAAAAAAATATCCTGTGGTATCGCGCGGTGTCAAAAGATAGATTGGAAGAATAGAAATTTGAGTGGATCTATTATTTCCAACAGCACTAACATGTGGCAAAACTTGACCTTGTTTAGAAGAGAGCTGTTGGGAATAACAAATCCATATTCAAATTATCTTCCAGGCAACGAACAGTACCTTCTGTTCCAATTATGTCGGCAAATATATAAGACCTATAGTTTAACGCCAGATATGAACGGCGCTAGTGATCAAAGATCTCTTAATCATTAGATGGAGTAATTTTCAACTCCTTAAATAACATAGGAAAAATCGCGTATGTGGAGTATTGAACCAGGACACAAACAAATTGTGAAACCTCTTCATTGACTCTGCTCTAATGAAATTTATCTCTCTTAACATCGCGCAACACTACAGGATATTTTTCGATACACATGCCTCGTATTCTACGTCAGAAACGTGCAGAGCCGAAAATGATTCCATCTGATGATTAAAAGATCTTTGATCACTTAGCGCTCAAATCCGGCATTAAACTAGGTCTGATATATCAATGTATATATGTAGGAATCCCTCAGGCTGGAGGTTGGAAATTAATTAATTTAACAAAAAATTCCGGAAAAAATCCATTGTTACGAAAATCTCATGAGATGTAATCTGCTCCGTCTTGGGATGTTGTGCTATCGAATGAATAAATGAATAAATAATTATATATAAAATTATACATAATTGTAATATATGAGCAATTTTTTTCAAACTTGTTTTTTTTCTAAAATGAACAATGCGAAAATTATCCCTATAATTATTTTTTATGTTTTTACATTACTATTATTATTTCTATTACATGAAAAAATAATTTTATAAAAGAAAGAGGGATGTATGAACATGTATGACATATTTCATATATAATTATACATAATTATACAATTGTACATTTATGAATGTTTATACATATTTATACATATTTATGCATGAAAAACCGGGAATTTACATTCTAAAATTCAATTTTCTTCTATATTATACTTCTTAAATATTAATCTACTATTTTTTATTACTTTTATTATTTTTAGACACATCTAGATCTTCATGATGAATTAAATATTGACAAAGCTACTCAAATTTATATCACATCAAATATCATACAAACGACGAAGTAATTAAGATTTACAGAAAAGTTGAATTACAGAAATTTTACAAACTGTAGCAGATTTAATATTAATTTTAAAACAGATATAATTAATTACTTAACTACTATATATTTTCGTACCATTCATACGTCTCTCAAATAATTGAATTTATTGGACTGAAATAGATTTCGCTTAATGATCTTATCCGAGTGCGATTTCAATCCTTTGGAATTAAGCTTCGACACGGTTTTAAAGGATACCCACGCACGACCTCCGCCCCATAGACAACCCAGTTCGTAATTTTCCAACTGGTTAAACCGAATGCATCGTGGTTTTCCAATCTTTTCGCTCGCAACATTGCCCATCCGTGCTTTGTTCACGGCGATCTTGTTGCGTTGGCGTATGGGGCACCATGTGGCCGCCACTGATAAGCGGCGAATTGCGCTTTTATCAAATTACGAGGCGATTCCTGCGAGTATAAAAGCCGCTCCCTCGGGACGTCCGGCATCAGCAGCTTTCTGGAGCACCAACGTGAAGCACTTCTTGCGGGAAGACTTGAAGAGCCGTTCGAAATATCTCTCGAAGCTTTGATCGCGACAGCTCATAGTTCTTCAGGTATGATACTTCTTATTGTTACGAGACACCGCGATATTCTTGAGTTACAAAATCCGTCGCGAAAAGTTTCACTCCAAATTTCAATGAGAGACATTGTTAAACAGAAAAATAAGAAAAAGATATTGCCAAGTATACGAAAAAAATAATTTTAATTTTCTTTCCGAAACTAATATTGTTTTTGATTCGTTTTTGGTTTTTAATTATTTCAGACTCGATTCGATTAACTTGATATGAACAATGGGGGTAGAATTGCTCTCTCTAATTAAGAACGAATTATAATATTTTGCAGCAAGATGCGGCGTACTCGTCATGTAGTGCTACCCGTGCGATCTTGGCAGTACATCGGACTTCTGATAGTATCGTTGGCGTGTCTAACGTTAGGATTGGTATCCAGGGATAGGGAAGGACATGCTGGTAGTCTCGCAGGTCCTGAACTCACGCATCGAGCTCCCCACGAGTACGAAATTAACTCTTTTCCTTGCTTAAAATCGTAAATGCTTCTTGAATTACGCATTATGTTTTTTAAATTCCTAAATGTTTTTTTTTATTACAATATTTTTAATTTTCCTAAGAATTTTATACACTTTTTTAAAAATTGCTTGTTGAAAAAAAGATTATAGACGAATATTATTTTTAGAGTGGACGCCTGTCCGAACTTGAATCCTTTCGTCAAAATCCCGATTGCCGAACAAGAAAAAGTTACGAAACCGGCGATTAATAATCATCAAATGAAATCTGAATTTGAAGCACCTATGTCTCGAAAGTCCGTATTTCCTCGATCATTGAGTCTGGATCGTTTGTCTAGAAGTGGTTTGCAGGAAACCAGAGAGCGATTGTCTAGAAATCGAGATCTGAGGACAGTCGAGAGACTTTCAAGATCGACGAGTCGCATATCCAACGACGAATCCATTAATCGTGTTCGAGAATCCCGATTTAGAATCGCGCAATCCCGCGACGCCAGAAATTCATTCGATCTCACCACTCGAGTCTCTCGAGTGCGGGATTTGTCTAATCGAGCAACCGGTCGCCGTTCTACCAAACAAAATTTCGAACGACGTTTGACTGATTCTGCAAATTCCCGGCTTGAAAATCGCCGATCCATAGAACAGCGGGAGTTTAATGAAATCGCGCGACAACAAAATCGCGATCGATCAGTGGATCGGCGAGACTCTTTGAATCTTCAACGTCGTACGAGCGATTATCGCGACCGTCAATCACTCCCAGAACGACGAATCAATCGGCAAGAATCTCGTGAAGTCCTAGTCTCTGGTCGTCGCGAACATCGAGATCTGACGCGAAATCGTGTTCCGAATTACCGATCCGAGATACGTGAACGTAGATCTGTCGAGCGTCGCATGTCAATCGAACATCGAGACGTGGAACGATCGGATCGTCGAGAGGATAACAAAAATCTCCTGAAATCAGCAAGATTCGCACGAGGAGATATCGATCGCAATAATAATATAGATCGCCGAAACCGCGAACGATCTCTGGAAAATCGCCAAGCTCTTCTCGATCGCGTTGCTAATCAAGAACGTAGATTTGAATTGTCGATTGCCAGGAATTCTCGGGGAAATCTTGTTAAATCTGACGATCGTCGAACATTGTCTCGATCGATGGAACGTTCAGATGTCAACAATTTCAATCGCAAAATTCTTAGCAGACGAGTTAGATCGGTTGAATCCAACACCGAGAAATCCGAGGAACGCAGATTGTCCTCCGAACGTAGATCATTGGACCGATCTATGGAACGTCGCGAAATAGCGGGACATCAGAATCGTTTTGGCGATCGAAAATCTGTCGATCGAATGTCGCGAGCTTCATCCGAAAATTTGCGTCGAGAAAGGATCAATCGCTCACAAAGGATCGCAAGCCGACGTGAAAACACAGCTATCAGGGAGAATTATAGAATGACACAGTCACGTTATAACGTCGAAGAAATCGCGAATCGGGAACGAAGAGAAAGATTTGCACGATCCTCTCGTTTAGTCGATCGCAATTCGGTAGATCGTCGGGAAATCGCGAAGATCAGAGATTCCAGAGATTACAATCATAGATCGCGCGATACTGCGACAACAGAACGACGTGGTTCAACTCAGGAACAGCGAGAAAAGACGAATCGTTTGTACCGATCACGTGAAGAACAAAGGATCGTTCCTCAGAGATCACGCGAGGCTGAACGACATGTGTCTGAAAGAAGAATTCCGGAAAGGCGAATTTTGGAGCGACGAATCACTTTGGATTCAGCACATCTCGATTCGCGAAGATCGTCGGAACGAAGAATCGACGACAGCTTGAAATCGCGTGAAGGATCCAGATTAGCAGATCGTTCGGAACGAAGCCTGGAAACACGAGTTTCTCGCGGAAGAATCTTAGAAAAGCGATCTATTCTTAATTCTCGAAGATCTTCGGAAGGAAGAATCGGCGATAATTCTAAATCGCGTGAAGAATTTAGACTAGATCAACGTTCAGGACAGAGTCCAGAAGCACGAGTTTCTCGTGGAAGAATTTTAGAAAAGCGATCTTTCGACTCTCGAAGATCTTTAGAACGAAGGATCGACAATTTGAAATCACGCGAAGGATCCAGGCTAGCAGACCGACGTTCGGAACGAAGCTTGGAATCGCGAGTCTCTCGCGGAAGAATCCTGGAAAAGCGATCTATTCTTGATTCTCGAAGGTCTTCAGAACGAAAAATCAGTGACAACTCAAGATCGAATGAAAAATCAAGGATGCAGGATCACGTGGAACGGAACTCCGAATTGCGAAATTCAATGCTTCCAATGGAGCGCAAAACAAATTCTAAAACAGCATCTCTCGAGAATCAGGCATTACGTTCATCAGAAACGCGACGCGAAATCAGACGTTTCGCAGAGCGTCGAATTCAATCAGTCAAGAATCGACCTGTTGAGTTTTATGAAAGAGAGTCCATCAAACACTTGCGTCAGAGATCAGCGAGGAACATCGAAGACTCATCGCGAGTCTCTTCTCTTCGCCGAGTCATCCATGTACCTGAACAAAATCGCGAACAACGAAGAATGTCTGCTGAGAGGACATTTACTAGAACTGTGGATAATGAACGATTATTTGCAAAATGGGAACGAAACTTGGAGGACGCACGCATTGAAAGAAATGTAAAAGTTAGAGCAAAAATCATTCCTAACTCAATAAAGGGCTACGAATTTTTCAAGTATCCTATGGCTTATGATCTTATGAGGCAAGCTTTTATCGTGGCATTATGTACTGTTTATGGATTTTCCCTCTATAATGGAAAAAAATCTTCCCTTGGGTAAGCTATTAAAATTATTAGAATTCCTTAGAGCGCAAGCTATAAACAAGTGTTACAATTTTCTTATAATTTAGCATAGGCTATAAAAAGCTATAATTCTCAAAGTAGATTATCAGTAATAAAAAAAGTAATTTTAAAAATAATATAAACAAAATAGAATTCGTAACATATGTTTTTTACAGCAGCAACATAATTCAACATATCCAGCGCTTCATAATTTGGTAAAATAAAATGTAATCGGCTACTGTGAACAATGGCACTGAAAATCGCTATCCTTTGGACCTCTGCTTCTATCGATCTTATTATTTTATGAATTAAGATATTAGGTTGCAATATGTGTAATGTATAACAATAATCAGAATGTAGATTAATGTAGATTAATGTACAGCTCATGTCCTGTAGAAATGTGTATATCTAAGAAGATATATTTTGTGCGAAAATAAAATAGTTGCAGTCGTAATTAAATATCTTGAAATAATTTTTTGAAAAACCTTTCAATATTTTTTACTATTTAAAAAATTACACACACACACA